GGATGCTCTGTTCCCCACAGCTCTTTTGTCTGGGGAGGGCTGGCCCATCGATCTTCAGAGCCTTTTCCTCTTCAGTCTCATGAGCAGCTCCCTTTTCCTGCCCTCCCCGGAGGGGGACCCTCTTCTGCTTGGGCGACCCTGGCTAGCTGGGGAGCTTATGTGCAGCCTCAAGCGATGGAGTAGCAGCTGCAGGAGGCAGTGACGCCTTGGCTGAGCTCCCAGCAACAAGGGCTGAAGACGTTGTGCATCGCTTCGTTAAGCGGGTGCCGCTTTGCATCGCCTCTAGGTCCAAAGATGTGAAGCCAGAAAAAGGGGGTATCGGTGGATATCTTGGGGGGGGGTGACCTGTCTTGCTGCCTCCACCCACAACCCACCCCTCTTCCAGGTAAGCACTGTGTCTCTGTGGAGATTTGGAAAGACAAGACGCCCCTTCCCCGATGGCCGAAGGCTGGCGTTCTGGCGAGCTGGCTTTCCTGGGAAGGAGTAGGTGGGTGGGTGGAGGAGGGCGAAGATTCCCTAAGCACCAAGAAGCAGGGATGGGTCAGCCAGTCCTGGCTGCAGTGGAAACACCCTCTTTGCAAGGGGGGGGAAAGAGGTGAGCAGCCCTCGGAGGGTCACGCTCCCCGCCCTGCCCTGGTGGCACTGTATAGGGTGGATGTTGGCCCTGGGGAGGGGGCTCTCCGCTCCTTCCCCCAGCTGGGAGTGGTCCAGGAAATATTGGCAGGTGCCATGTCTGTGCTGAGTCGAGGGACCCCTTGTGGGTCTTCTGAAGTGTAGAAGCACCGGTCAAGGTATCCTTAGGACCCTGTGCCTCTACTGAGCAACAGATTGTGCTGGGCGGAGCCGGGCCTTGGAGGCGCAGGTGGGGTGGGGTAGGGCCGCCTGCCTCCTTTCAGCCCGGGGCCAAATGATGGGCAACGTCCCGAGGGTTAGTTTTGAGTGTGCCTGGCACACCTACAAGTGTCTGTTGACCAGATTTCAACTTTCTGTGTAAAGTTTTGTTACTATCCTGATATTTTGGCTCTTCTAATGGCTAATCTCAGACAGTACAGCAATTGTACCAGAAAGTCTAATTGCAGTTGAGGATCTGAGACTTCTCACTGCAAGGATCGTTGTGCTCATTATGTGTGCATGTGTCTGTGTGTCTGTGAGATATGAGCCTGGGCGGGACATTTGCGCTGCCTCTAATGGATCCTAGCTCTCCCCCACCTCCATTTCAAAAACAGCTGGCGGCCTGTAAAGCATTCTTTTTTTTTCTCCCCAGGGAGCTGAGCCCGTCCAGTTCTGCCGAATCCTGTCCCTCTTTGAGTTTGCATAGTAGGTATCTGTTTGTATCATATACACAAGGTCGGAGCCACCACCGTCCAAGGCCGCGCTTTCCGCTCAAACCTGGCGAGACCAACTGGAAGGACAGGGATCCGGGCAGCCCTCCTCTCTCTCTCTCTCTCTCTCTCTCTCCCGGGCCTTGAAGACGGTCACTGGACGCCCATGCCGGAAACGCTCCGGCACCCGAGAGGGGACGCATCGCGGTCAGGCAGGCAGCCGGCGGGAGGGCTGAGTCGGGATGGGTGGGGTGGCCGGCGAGCTCCGTCCGTCCGCCTGACGGACGTCTTCTTCCCCAGGAGGCAGAGGGGCTGCATCAGGAAGGAGGCTTTGGAAAGGGCACCCCACCATCCCTGTGTCCGATGATGGCCGTGTGTCCTCCTCTCCCCTGGTACTTTCCCAGTCCAGGCTTTGAGTCAGGAGGAAAGAACTGTAGCTCATGCGTCTGCAGTCGGTCAGTCATGCGGATTAAGATGGTCGAGTTATGTCCTTGACGAAAATCATGCCAAATAGCCTAAAGAATCGGGGGGCAGCCGGCCCTGCCCCGGGTGAGCTCACCGCTCCGCTCGCCTGGCCGTGTCGTCGTGGGGGCACGTGGGGTGGGGTGGGGTGGAGGTCAGTGGGTTGGTGTCGAGGTGAGGCCCTGGTTGAGAGAAGGAGAAAAACAGGGAAGCATAAATGAGAAGCTCAAAGGGGCCAGGAGACAGCAGTAGCAGTAGCAGCAGCAGCATCTTAGAACCACAGAGCTGGAAGGGGCCCTTTGGATCATCCAGTCCAGCCCCAGTCAAGGAGGCCCCATGGGGGAATTGAACCCCCAGCCTCTGGCTCTGCAGCTCGAGGCCTCAACCCCTGAGCAATCCAGCAGTTCAAGGGACTTGGTTGAAAATCTGTTTCTTTCAACTCAGGGAAGGATATCTTGGGCAGGGAGGGGGTTTGGGGGCAGCAGAGTTTTCTTAGCCCCTTCCAGTTCCCGGAATACAAGAGGGGGAAGGTGTCTCAGTGAAACAGGAATAAACCAGAGGTAGGTTACTTTTAAGCACAGATATGCTTTCTCACAATACATGTTGCTACAATCAGGGTTTTTTTAGCTAGAGCCGCTACCCAGTGTCGCTACCTTGAAAGCCAAATTCTAGATCAAAGCGAAAATCCTTTCTTGAGCTAGCAGTCTCAGGAATTCCGGAGAAAAGGTAACACATCTGTTGACGAGACCAACATGTTCCCTGTGTTTTTGGCATCTCCATAGCTGATCTTTTTAAAGCAAAGCTGAACTTTAACAACATTGGGCAGTTCCTGTTTGGGGGCCATGAATCTGAAGGGTCAAACTAGCAACATCATTCGAGAAGGGAGCAACAGCCCGATACAGAGTACTTGGAAAAACTGCAGCATGGATTGGGGCATTTTGGATCTTGTGATCCAAAAAAAAAAAAAAAAAGAATCATTCAGCTGAAGAGGGGGGGCCCTGCTGCATTTACACTAGGCCCCCTATGTTTTTGCACTGTCATGGTTTTACGTCAGCTATGGGGAATATAGGCTAAAATGTGAGTTTGTGGGGTCCCTTAAGGGCTCCCTGCCTCTCCCCCTGTCGTCCAGACTCTGAATTCAAAGCGGCACGTATCATGCCACTGCGACCCAACACTTGTGCAACTGCAAAACATCTGCTTCTTTTTCGAATCTTGAAAGCCAGGTTTCTTTCAAGAGGAGAACAGCTTGGCCGAGTAAAGAGCATTCCTCTAAGCATGTTAAGGGCCGTCCGGCTTGGAGTGCATGGATGTTGAGCTCCCAGAGGGTCTCAGCGGAGGAAGAAGCCGCTGTGAAAGCAACACAGAACTGACAGGGACACACAAGCAAGGCCAGACGCACCCAAAAGGTCATGCAGGAAAGCGGTTACGAACGTTTAGCCAGTTCGGGGGCGGAGGGGGGGGATTGACAGGTGCATAGTTGGTCAGGAATGCTGTTTTAAGCCATGGGGCCTTACGCCACCAATGTTCAGTTAAGCATTGCCCAGAAACGTAGTGCAGTCCCACTAAGTTTTGGTGACTTCTAGCTTTCTGCATCAGGCAGAAGTTCATCAGGTTCCATTTGGTTTACATCAGAGGCCAAACAAAAAAAAAACCCCACAAAACTGAACCTCAACTCTGTCATGAAGTGGTTTCTGGGGAAAAAAACTCCTTGTGCTCCAGCTCTTTCCCTGGAGGACTTGCCCCCTCCTCAAGCCGGGTCCCCCCCTTGTTCCAGGCTCTCTTGAGAACATCCTGAGGAAGGAACAGAGGGTAGAGAACTCGCCTTGTAGGGAGCTGGTGATTTATCTGGCCCTCCTGGAGTTGACCCATGGGACTGCCCATTGAAAAGGTCAAGTAGAGGATATTGGCTCCACTGACCAGCGGCCTAATCTTGACACCAGCTTGGGCCCCCTTGGCGAGCGACTCTTGGCCAGATCCCCACCCCCTCTTCCATGGGCCCCGGATTCTAAGATCTGCAGCCCCAAAAGGTCACTTGACCCATCTCTGGAGCAAACACAGTTTGCAGCTGGAACCCCTGGAATAAGGCACAAATGCCCGACTGTCCCAGTTTTACATCATAAGCAACCCTGACTATTTTAGCTTGTGCTGTCAAGTTGCTTCTGAATTAAGGTGACCCTCAGAGGAATCTGAATATTTTGTATTCCTCAAAGATTCTTGAGATTTCTGCCACCTTCTCTCTCTCCCCCCCTCCCCCTGCCAAGACGTACCAGCCAAAAATGGGCCCCTCACTTTTGTGGCCTTTTTTTTTGCAAGCCACAAAGAATGGGGGGGAGAAGAGAATTTGGGCTCTCCTTAGGAAACGAAAGCCCCAGGATCCCCTCTTGTCTGAACCAAGAAGGCACAAGATGACACAACACTATATAACAAAGTGAACAAAGGGCTTGGGGGGGGGGGTACCGTAAAGCTTTAAAGGTCTTATAAGGTGTTGGGCCTTCACGGGCAACGTCTTTCTTCGTCATAGTCTTGAAGGCAAACAAGGCTCTTGGTTTTGCTCCCACGGAGTAATGGGGCTCGTCCACATTTAAATTATAGAATGAGCTCCTGAAATGATTAATTATTCAAAACATGCATCCTAAGGGTGTGGGCCCGGTGGCGAGACCCACCCCTAAAAATGGATTTCTCACTGGTAACCAGTAGCTGGTGATTTACAACCCCTTATTCATTTTTAGACTATGATATTACTGTTATTGGGCTCTTGCCTGGAACTCAGCTTTTTATAGTGTCATATATATATATGCTATTTGCACACAACTGATTCACTTCAAGCAAGGCTGCTTTCAAGGTTCCTAGAAAGAAGACCGTAGCGGTAAGAGATAGTGTCGCTGCAGCAGGCTCCCCCCGCCCCACGAAACCCACACCCATTCAGTAAAAGAGGGTGCACCATTTCTGGCCCTCCAGATGATGGCGGGCTACGGCTTCCATCCACTTTGGCTAGCATTGCCAAGGGGGAGGATTGAAAATATCAGCTCTCTCGATGGGGCCAGAGCACCTCCGCCTGTCTCATGAGGCCCAAAGGGAGACCCTGGATGTACAGATTCACACAGGATGTCCTTAGGATTCTGCGGCCATTGAGAGGACAACGCCACCATTTAATCCAGGACCTTGCAGGATTCACCGAAGACCAGAAAAAAGTCTAAAGCACCACCAGCCTGCTTTGAGCGCCCCTTTTAGTGCATAGTCTGTGCGCTAGTGTGATAGAGCGCTTAGAGCAACAGTCTTGGGGTTCTGGCAATGAAGGGTCTAATTCTTGCTCAGTCGGGGCACCCATTGAGCCGGTTACATATGTGCAGGCTGTCCTACCCCACAGGGTTACTGTGATGGTACTGTGAGGAGCATGAGAAAAGGTAGAACATCAAGGTAGCCTGTAAATGAATACATTCATAAATATCTCGTCCAGGACTATGGCCGAGGATGGGGGGGGGTCCTGCCTTGTGACCACAAGGGCATCTACTGTGGTCCAGGGCAGTGACTACAAGAGAAACATGTCTGCACCAGCGTCATTTACACCCAACTCCCCGTTTCCCAGCTACCAGTAAGAACAAAGGGGTGTTTACCTCCAAAGAGGCCACTCGAGGGGGGGGTTGGGGTGTCACTGCTTCCCCCTTTTCAGGCTGGCTCGCTTCACTATCTGTGCCCCCATCCTGCCCCCAAGCAGCTCCGAGCGCAGGACACTCCCTTGGGCCTCTTCCTGGGGGGGGTGACAGCAGCAAGAGACAGCAAAGCAGGACGCGGTCACGGACAAACCCACAGGGCAGGCAGGCAGGCAGGCAGGCGGACGGACGGAGAGACAGACAGAGAGACACAAGGAGAAGGAGGTCAGATGGCAGAGTCCACCGAGAGGCAAGGCGGCCGGTCAGTCCAAGGGCTGAGGGGGGGAAGGGGGGCGGCTAAACCACACCAGGGGCACCCATGAGAGAGAACGAGGAAGAGAGGGAGGGGCAAGGGAGGGAGGGGCAGGGGACAGAGAGGGGCAGCCAGAGCATCACAGCTGGACGGCCCCCCCTGCAGCTCCGGTTCTTTTCTGCTCATCCTCTCCTGCTCCCCAGACGGCCTGTTTCAGAAGAGCCTCGCCTTCCATCTCACAAGGCTGTGATAATCACCTCTTCCTGCTGCCGCCCTTCGTCCACGCCGTCGGTCTCCAGCCGCCGTACGACCTTCCGGATGATCTGCAAGAGGCGAAGGAGAAATGAAGGGGAATTGATTCGGAGTTTGTCTAAAAGCTTGGGTCTCCCGATGTTCTTGGACGGCCACTCCTGGAAATCCCAGCCAGCAGCACAGGTTGTGGTGAAGGCTCTTGGGATCTTTTGCACCAGAACCCTTGCATTACCCAAGGCTGGGAACCCTTGACCCAAATGACCCTCCAGAGACTCTTTACAGCTCAATGATGCCAACAGTAAATGGCTCAGCATTAACAGAAGACAAAAACTGCTTAGACTAGTTCAACGTGGCGCATCTTCCTTGTGTTAAGCCAACTTTCCCCAACCCATTGATGTCTCCAGTTTCCCATGGCTGTGATAGCTGAGGCTGGTGAAGCATGTTGCCCAGCCCATTTGGAGTGCACCAGATTGAGGGGGGCTACATTACATCCATGGTTCTCCATAGCTAGCAAATATCGGAAGGGGGGCAGACACTAAGGAATGCACTACATCAGTGGTCCCCAACTTTTTCCCAACCACAGATGGGGGGCGGGGTCCATCCATGCACGGGGTGCATGGCATGCATGCGTGGGAGGGGATGCTTGTGGGGAGTCAGGAGATCTGTGCAGCCCAATCTTGCCTAGGCCACGCACTGGGGTTTGGGGACCCCTGCACTACATGACCAGAGAAACACAGAGTGTATCTCCACTGGACAGCTGGAACAGGTTGATGCCATTTTAAGCACCATCTCGGTTCCATCTTGTGGAATTGTGGGATTTGTAGTTTGGCCAGGGACTTGGAATGGTTCAGAGAGGGGGTGCTTTGCTGCTCTCTGGCAGAAAAATAGGGAACCTCTCTGGACTACACACGCCAAGTATTTCCAGGATGCAACCGGGACAGTTAAAGTGTCATTACGTCTGCTGTAACTCAGTAGTGTGTATCTATGTGCAGACAAGATCAGGCTGGGCTGTCCAAAGGGTAAACCAGAGGTCTGTCAGCAGACTGAGGCCCCCTTAAAAACCAGTATCTATCCAGTACTTGCTGGGGGCTTCATGCAACAACCTCATTCCAGCAAACAAAACCCTGAGTTAAAAAACTCCCATCCCTGGAGTTCTCATTAACGAGAGAACAAGAGTAAAGACAATGGTAAGCTAAATAAGCAATCGCTCGAGGGCACAAACACTCAAACCCACGCATCTGATGCTGAAGCAGAGGGGGTGCAGAGGTGTAGCTCATTTTCTCTGGGATCAAAGGCAGGGGAACGGCCCTTCTGTGTCTGGCGGGGGGGGCGGTCACTGCCTGCAAGGTGGCTTCACTGGGATCCTGGTAATGCAATCTTTGCCCTTCTCTCTCCATTCCTGCCAGCCACCACTTCTGCAACAGACTCACCTTCTTGGTGATGATATTGCCTTGTTCGTCTGTAAATTGTTCCTCGGTCACTTGTTCTCCAGGAATATCTAGCACTTCATTGCCCTGGAAGGAGGAGGAGGAGGAGGTTGAGTGCCATCAGCAGACTGCTGTATTCTTGAGGGAAAGTATGGGCTGTCCTTTACGCCTGAGGTCGAAGGAATTGAACTCTGAGCCAGCCCTTGGTGTCCTTTGGCCGTTCTGCCAGCCGAGCCCGGCATGGTGTCCTTGCCCAAGTGAAACAGGTCGGGGCAAAACAGCCCACCTGAGACAGTGCCACCCCTAAACCTTGGAAAAAACACCTCTGGTGGAAGAAGAATCCACCCCACCCTAATTCCAGGACTTGAAGAAGTTTCTTTTCTTTTTTGCACCACACCTCCTAGACTCTCATACAATCTTATAATCCTAGAATGGCAGAGCTGGAAGGGACCCGATGGACCATCGAGTCCATTCCCTCTCAAAGAGGCACCGTGGGGGAATCGAACTCCCAACTTCTGGTTCCACTGCCAGAGATTGAAACGACCGAGCTATCCAGCACTTTCTTCCCATCAGTCGTGTTTGGGTGGGAGGGATTTGGGGCCCTGTCACCCATCAAGGACCTTTCCCAAGCTTTTCCCCAGGATCCCCCCCCCACCAACGACCCCTTTGGGAGCCGGCAACTCTACCTGGACGATGAGGCGCCTGCGCACCACGCGGGTGGAGACGGCCTCCTCGTCGTCGCTGAGCCCCTCGGTCTCGCCCAGCTCTTTGTCCAGCTCCTGGTGGATCTGCTTCAGCACGAAGCGGAAGGAGCCCTGGGCGACGTGCAGGAGGTTCTGGCAGCTGACCAGGAAGAAGCCCAGCAGGACCAAGCTGATGAGCAGCTGGGTCAGGAAGCCCCACATGGTCCCGGCCGGACTGCTTTTCCCTCCTGTGCCCCGGCCGGCTGCCGCCCGGGCAAGCCTAAGACCTGCCTTCCCTCATGGCAGAAAGTGGGGGGGGGACGACTGGGAATCGTGGGCCGCCTCTGCTTTGGGACTAAGAAGCAGGAATGGGAAAAGGCTGGGTAATTTTAGCCTGCCTGCGGACCAGCTGCTTGGGGGCGTTGGGCCAACCCTCTTTGTCCCCTCCTCCTGGAGCAACTGAAAGGGGCACGTGGAGAGGGGGAGACACACATATACAGAACAGGGGCTTCTCAAAGGCACCTCATCTCACCCTCCAAGAAAGAAAAAAGGCAGTGGCTGCCCCATAGGACTGGAAGGAGGCCAACGGAGACTTGTCATCTTTTGGATGCTGTCCGCTCGGGGCTGCTAACAATGGGCCTCCCCTAATCTGGGTCCCCGGAGGCCCCTCTGGGTCCCCAAGTCGGGCACAAATGCCCAGCCCCCTTTGGCAGGCTGGGCACTTCTATTTTCAGGCCACTCCATGCCTGGCGGTGGGTGAAAACCAAGCACTACCCAATTAGGAAGCAGGCGTAGAGGCCGGGCAGAAGGGATATAAATAGAGCAAGGAGGCAAGGCTCAGATCCCCTCCCCTCAACCAGAGGCCAAGGGAGGCTGTTCCCTCGTGCTCCAGAAGGCAGAGGGTTTCACAGACACTCTCACACACGCACACACCCCTTTTGCAAGCAGCTGGCCAGAAAAGCAAACGCAACAGGAACGCAATCCTACGGAACGAAAAGCAAAGCCAACGGGAAACGGCAAAACTAAATGTCTCAGCTGAGGATCAGAAGGAAATTCAATTTGTCTACGAAGGCTCTCAAAAGAGAACCATCTTGACCTGATGACGGCAACTGTTCCGCCTGCAGCTGTAGGTCTCTCCCCCCCCCCACCAAGTGGCAGTAATGATGGTTTACTTCGCAAGCCGCCTTGCAAGGAATATTCAGGGGAAGCCCAGGAAATGCATTCTGTCTGCAAACTCAGCTACTGAACTCAAATACAACCTGCTTCAGGGTCTCCAATCCCATAGAGCCCCCAAATTTCAAAATATAGTTTAAAAAATCTCTGTCTGCTGTTTCAGAATCACTCCCTCTCATGGCATCTGTGTCATTCAGCAGCAGCATTCTTAAGCCAGTGTCAATGTGTATGGTCTAGGTTTTCAGCCTGCACACCTGGAAGGTCTGGAAAGAGTTAACCCCTTAGGAAAGGTAGCTGTGATATTGGTGATGATGCTCCCGGTGGCTCGGTGCAAACAAACAGTGCGGAAAGGGTAGTTTTTGCAAGGAGCAATTTCACTTAAAGCAATCTTTCCATCCCTCAGCAAGCCGTTCCAGCCCAGCTCCCCCTCCCAAATCATAGCTCAAAAAGATCCAACTTCGGGATAGATCAGACTCCAGATGGAGCACTATCCTCCATACCAGGCGATCCCTGGAGAATCCTAGGACAAGGGAAGGCAAGGGTCAACGCGCTGTGACAAGAGCTGGAGCCCAAAAGAGTAGTCCCGTTAGGGATTGTGGCTCTGATTATCTGAGCTGGGCTTCCAGGATGCTTAGGGTTAGTTCTTAATCTCTTCCACCGTTTTGTAATTTTTAGGTGGTGCCAAGAGACTAGTCACTGGGATATTTCTATTTCGGGGTACCTTATGGAATATGTTACATTCTCTCTCTTTTTTTTTCACAGACATGATAAAGTTTTGTCCTCCTTAGCAATAATCTCAACTGTAACACCTTCTGCTTGGGGTGAACAGAGATTTTCCCAGCTAAGGGAAGAGAGAGCAAGCCTCTAGAGCTTGGAAACTTTGGGTTCTGTTTTATTTTTTTGTTCTTCAGACTTTCCAGATCTAAGAAAGGAGGCAGATCCCACCACAGGATCCCCCTCATTTGCTCCATGGAAGTTGGAACCTCCATTGATCTGCGAGAAGGGTGGAGGGGATGATAGCTACCAAATGTTAAGGTCTTTTTTTTTTAATACTAAGGAAGCTCAGTTTTTCCCTTATGCCTTAGATCTGCCCCAAAACACCATCCTATGTACCAGGGCTTGGTCTATCCATCTGCTTGGGAGTATCTCTGTCACACACGGGGCCCCCGTGTCCCTCCTTGCCTGGAGGCACGTGGTGTGGTGAGCCTGTGCGGGAACTCTCACCTGAGTTTGTCCGAAGTAGCTGCTGTCGGTCTCCTCTAGCCACTGGGCCAGGCCTTGCCGTCTCCCAGGGTGGAGGCCCCAATCCTTGTGCGGCGTGGGGCTCTCCCTCTCCTCCGACGAGTCGATCCGCATGTGCTCTGCTCTCCCCCGTTCCTGGCTCCGCACGTGTCGCAGCACGGGAGGGCTTTGGGACGCCCCCCGGGGCAGGTCAGAGAGGGTGGAGATGAAGGAGCTTTCCACAGCCCACTCGCCCAGCCTGGGGAAGGAGGACAAAGAGGGACTCGTGAACCTGTGTCCTTCTCACAAAACTAGGTGGTGGCCGGGCTCCTTTCCCACCCCAATTCTCAAACAAGTCTTGGGAATGCAGAAAACGCTCCACTCCGTGAAGGACAGATCACCCAATGAACACCTCTCTGAGTGGCTTTCCATATCCTGGTAACGTCTTACTTGGATTGACTGCTGCAATGATGTCTATGCAGGGGGGGCCCTTGAAGACTGCCTAGATATTTCAGCAGGAGCGGCATGGGGCCTCTTAAACGCTCCACTCCGTGAAGGACAGATCAGCCAATGAACACCTCTCTGAGTGGCCTTCCATATCCTGAT